TTCTGGGTTTTTTTTTTGTTTTTTTTTTTTTGTTTTATTTTTTTGCTTTTTTATTATTGTCCAATTTTTTTTGTTACATTTTAAATTCGGAACTGTGTCCCTCCCTCCCTTCCCACCCTGTACTAGAGAAGGTCACCATTTGATGCCGATTTATAATAGTCATGCTATGTATACTTCTTTTTATCAGTTCTTTCTCTAGAGATGGATAGCATCTTCCTTCACAGGTCCTTTGTAGTTGATTTGAGTATTTATAGTACTCAGAATAACTTGGTTGTTCACAACTGTTTTTTGAACAATATTGCTGTTACTATATACAATGTTCTCTTGGTTCTGTTCACTTCACTCTTCATTGTTTCATCCAAGCCTTTCCATGTTTTTCTAAAATCAACCAGCACAATAGTATTCCATCACAATCACATATCACAGCTTGTTTAGCCATTCTCCAACTGATAGGCATCCCTTCAATTTCCAGTTCTTTGCCACCACAAAGAGAGCTGCTATAAATATTTTAGAACATATAGGTTCTCTTCTCTTTTTCCTAATCACCTTAGGAAACAGACTTAATAATGGTATTGTCGGGTCAAAGGGTATATACAATTTTATAACTTTTTGGGGATAATTCCAGATTGTTCTCCATAATGGTTGGATCAGTTCACAATTCCACCGACAGTGTATTAATGTCCCACTTTTTCCACATGCTTTCCAACATTTGTCATTTTCCCCTTCTATCATTTTAGCCAATCTGATGGGTGTGAGATATCTAAGTTGTTTTAATTTGCATTTCTCTAATCAGTAACAATTTAGAGCATTTTTATATGATTATATATAGTTTTGATTTCTTCATAGAAAAACTGCCTATTCATATCCTTTGACCATTTATCAATTAGGAGAATGACTCACATTTTATAAATTTTACAAAGTTCTCTTTGTATTTGAGATATGAAACCTTTATTCAAGAAACTGTCTATGATTTTTTCTCTTAATTTTCCACTTTACTTCTAATCTTGGCTACACTGGTTTTATTTTTACAAAACCTTTTAAATTTAATATAATCAAAATTATCCATTTCATATTTCACAATTCTTTCTATCTGTTGTTGATTCATGAATTCTTCTCCTAGCCATAAGTCTGATAGGTAATGTGTTCCATGTTCTTCTAATTTTCTTGTAATGTCTCTCTTTATTTCTAGGTTATTTATCCATTTTGACCTTATCTTGGTAAATGGTATAAGATCTACACCCAATTTCTGCCAGACTGCTTTCCAGTTTTCCCAACAATTTTCACCAAACAGTGAATTTTTATCCCAAAAGCATGTCTTTACTTTTGTCAAACACAAGGTTACTATAATCATTTACTACTGTTTATTTTATATCTACTCTGTTTTACTGATCCATCTTTCTATTTCTTAACCAATACCAGATAGTTTTGATAATTACTGCCTTATAATATAGTTTAAGATCTGATATTGCTAAACCTCCTTCCTTTGTATTTTTTTTCCATTAAATCCTTTGATATTCGTGACCTTTTGTTCTTCCAAATGAATTTTATTATTTTTTTCTAGTTCAATAAAATAATTTTTGTAGTTTAATTGCAATGGCATTGAATAAATAGATTAATTTAGATAGAATTATTTTTATTATATTGGCTCTGCCCACCCATGACCAATATTTCTTCCATTATTTAAATCTGACTTTATTTGTATAAAAAGTGTTTTATAATTATGTTCATGTAGTTCTTGGGTTTGTCTTGGCAAGTATATTCCCAGGTATTTTATAC